ACACCCTCTTCTGTCTGACCATTTTTTAATTACATTTGAATTTAGAATTATTGACTACACTGATTCTGGACAGAAATTCTATTGTGTTTATCTGATAAAACTGTGAACAAATTTAAAGAACTGCTTCCTTCTACACTTACCTCACAGCCATGTGTCAGTACATTACAGGAAGGTTATCAAAACTTTACTCCCACACTAGTTAATAACTTTGTTAATAGTACAGCAGCTTCATTAAAAACATCCCTTGACGCTGTTGCCCCGCTAAAAAAGAAGAAAGTAAATCAGAGGAGATTAGCTCCATGATATATTTCTCAAACACATGTTTTAAAACAGATATCACGGAAGCTAGAGAGGAAGTGGCGTTCCACCACTCAATATGATTTTCACCTAGCCTGGAAGGATAGCCTGCTGAATTAAATGAAGCACTCAGAAATGCCAGAACCTCTTATTATTCATTATTAATAGAAGAAAATACGAACAACCAGGTTCCTCTTCAGCACTGTAGCCAGGCTGACAGAAAGTCACACCTCTACTGACCCATCTATTCCTCTAGATCTGAGAAGCAATGACTTCATGAGCTTCTTCACTAATAAAATTACAACCATCAGGGATAAAATCCAGCTCCTCCTCTCAATGAATAACACAGATACACTGTCGTGTCCTGAAACCATAGACCCACCTGTAGCACCAGATTTTTATCTGAACCATTTTCATTGATCGTGAATTGACCTTATTAGTTTCATCATCTAAACTCACTTATGACCTTTTTATGGCATCAGATGATGGACTTGGTTCTATACTCGTCCTGTTGGATCTTAGTGCAGCATTTGACAAAATAGATCAAAACATCCTGTTGCAAAGACTAGAACAACATGCAGGGATCAAAGGAACAGCACTAGACTGGTTTAAATCATATTTATCAGATAGAGTTCAATTTGTTAACATCAACAATGACCCCACTATGCACATGCAAGTTAGTCATGGAGTTCCACAAGGTTCTGTCCTTGGACCGATACTCTTCACCTTATATATGCTCCCCTTAGGCAACATCATCAGAAAGTACCACATACACTTCTATTGTTACGCAGACGACACCCAGCTGTACATATCTATGAAAAATGATGAATCTGATCACTTAGTTCAACTTCAGGAATGTCTCAAGAACATCAAGGCCTGGATGACCCAAAACTTTGTATTTCTAAATTCAGACAAAACTGAGGTCGTTGTAATTGGCTCTAAACATCTCAGAGAAATACTGTCTGACCAGATAGTCACCTTGGATGGTGTTAGTTAGGCCTCCAGCTCCACTGTGGAAACCCTGGAGTTATGTTTGACCAGGACATGTCAACCAACATATAAAACAAATGTCTAGGACAGCTTTCTTCCACCTGCACAATATTAAGAAAATTAGAAACATCCTGTCTCAGAAGGATTTTGAGAAACTAGTCCATGCATTTGTTACCTCTAGACTAGATTACTGCAATTCTTTATTATCAGGATGCCCCATGAAGACTGTAAAAAGTCTCTAGTTGGTCCAAAATACTGCAGCACGAGTGCTGACAGGAACTAGAAGGAGAGATCATATTACTCCTGTCTTAGCTTCTCTTTATTGGCTCCCTGTAAAATTCAGAATAGAATTCAAGATCCTGCTCCTCATATTCAAAGCCATTAACAATCAAGCCCCTTCATATATCAAAGAGCTCATAAAACCATATTATCTAAATAGATCTCTTCGTTCCCAAAACACAGGCTCTCTTGAGGTTCCAAGAGTCTGTAAGAGTAGAACAGGAGGTAGAGCATTCAGCTACCAGGCTCCTCGCCTGTGGAACTAGCTCCCACTCTGGGTTCGGGAGGTAGACACCATTTCTGCATTTAAAATTAAACTTAAAACATTCCTTTTCGATAAAGCCTATAGTTAGTTCTGGATCAGGTAAGTACTGAACCATCACTTAGTTATGCTGCTATAAATCTAGACTGCTGGGGGAACTCTCATCATCCACTGAGCACTTCTCCACTTCTCTCTGTCTCTCTGCCCCCCCCCCACACTAATTTATTTATTTTAATATATGTCAATAACTATGTTTCTTTTGTCTCCCATAGTACCTCTCTCTCTTTCTCTCTCTCATTGCAGATATCTCTGACACCAGAACTGCAGGACAACATTTATTATTATTATGATTATTATTATAAACAACAATACTTATCAGTAATTCATAATTATATGAATTTTTACTGTTATCAATAATAATTGATAACTTCTTTACACTGTTATTGTTTACATTTGAAATAGTCAGAGCTCCAATATTAACTATAACAGTATTAACAAAAACATATATGATGACCTCGATGGGTGGAGCCTGTTACCTCTTGACTTTGGAAGCAGAATTAGATCAATAAAAATGAATATTCTCCCTAGGTTATTATATCTTTTTTTATCATTGCCAGTGGAAATTCCTCTGAAACAATTTAGAGAGTGGAACAAACATATTTCACGATTCATTTGGAATAAACAGAGACCAAGGGTAAAATTTTCCACCCTTCAGCTTCCGGAGGAGAGGGGTGGCAGGGCCCTCCCATCTTTAAGGGACTATTATTTAGCAGCCCAACTGAGGCCTCTTGTATATTGGTGTAATCCCTCTTATGAAGCGAAATGGAAAACCATGGAGTTATCTTTAACAGATACACCAATTCATTCACTGCTTGGTTGTGCGGGGATGAAGGAAAAAATACTACATACAGAGAGCCAATGGGTGAACTGTTCATTGAAGGTATGGGGTGAGGTGGTTAAAAAATTTGAACTCCAGAAACAGATAAAACTACTTAGATGGCCAGCGTATGACCCCGAATTCACACCAGCATTATTAGATCATGGATATAAACAATGGACCTATTATGGTGTTACTGCTGTATGCAAAATTGTTAAAAAATGGGAACTTATCAGCTTTAACAATTTGTGTCAAATGTATGGACTAGGTGGACAAGACTTCTACAGGTACTTACAGGTCCGTGATTATTTTTGTAAAAAGCTAAAAGGTTGTAACCCAGCAAAGCTACCAGTGTTTATTCATATATTTATGGATGCATACAACTCTGGGAATATTAAAGGACTTATAAGCAAGTTATACCACAGCATCACCTCTCTGAAGAAGGATTCAACGGACTACATAAGACAACGGTGGGAGAAGGAGTTAAATACTGTAATAACAGAGGACATGTGGTCAAAGGCCTGGAAAACACAATCATCCTCCACCAACTCCTGGACCTGGAGAGATTTTTGCTGGAAAAGTTTAATTTGTTTTTTTATAACTCCCAAACAGAAGTCCAAGCAGACTGGTACACAAATTACCTGCTGGAAAGAATGTGGAGAGGTTCTTGCTGATCATGCCCATATTTTTTGGTCTTGCCCCTCCATTCAGTTTTTTTGGAGTGAAGTGACAAAAATAATTTCAAAGGTTCTATGTTTTAATATGAATGTATTGTTCACATCTCTCTATCTTGGGAATATGCCAGATGGGTTGAGTGAAGCTGATCGGTACCTACTTAGGGTCTTGCTGGCTTCAAGTAAGAAGGCCATCACAAAATGTTGGCTCCAGAAAAATGCTCCCACTACAGAATCTTTTGTTAATATTGTAAAACAACTACATGTACTAGAGCAAATGACATATTCAATCAGACTCCAAAAAGATCTAGGTGAAAAACGGTGGCAGAAATGGAAAGACTACTTAGCAAACGAATGAGACTGTATACACGTACTGGATATGATATTTTGCATTGTGGACTTATTGATCACCCCCGGACCTTGAATATGGGTAATTGTTCAATGTTTTGTATTTGTCTTTTGTTCTGTACTAAAAGATGAAAATGACTTATAAATAAAGAGTTTTAAAAAAAGAAATAGTCAGAGCTGATACCTGATCGCCTCTCTTTCTCCATCTCCTCCAACTCCCTACTATCTCTCTATCTCTTCTATCCTCTCTTTTCCACCCATCTCTCCTCTCCTCCCCCGTTTTCTTTGCTCACCCCAACCGGTCGAGGCAGATAACCGCCCACATGGAGCCTGGTTCTGCTAGAGGTTTCTGAGGTTAATGAGGGAGCTTTTCCTCCCCACAGTTGGGAGTGCAGCTTATTGTGGGAACTGTTCGGTTTCTCTATATTAATAAGATTTTAAGGTCTCTAACTTATCTCACAAGAGATAAATCAGGTGACCTATGTCATTTAGCATGTCATTGTCAGTGGCATGTAACAGCCCCAGATGCACCAGGGGTTATTCAAACAAGGTCTTGATTAAAATTAGTCAATACATCTTCTGTTAAATAACCATGGACACTGTACAATACTACCTACTTTGGATTTTTCATCAGGAGTTTCTGGATAAAGTCTTTGGCCATGGAGCTGGTAGTGCTGAAATATTGTGAAAAGAACTCATACTTCATGGCAATGATATTTTTCAGAGTGTCTTCATCAGTCTCACTTTGGAATGGTGACAAACCGCTTAATCTGAGGATAGAATTCAACAGAGAGAATATAGCATGTTGACATCTAAATTCATCCATACAGACAAAGCAGTTTTTGCAGTAGTGTGACATCAAAGTAAGCAAGGAAAAAAGTTCATGACTTGTTAAAGCATAAAAAAACCATTTTAGACAGTAGCAATGTGAAGCATATTTCTCTTGACGACTGAGGTGTCCTTGAGAAAGGCACCGCCCCCTCCAACATCTGCTCCCCGGGCGCTTGGCAACAGCAGCCCACCGCTCCAGTATATGTGTGTACATGGCATCTGTCAATGTGTGTTTCTATGCKTGTTTAAACAGGTGCCAACTGGATGGGTTAAATGCGGAGAACAATTTCATGTATGCATGTAAAAGTGTTAACGTGACAATAAAAGTAATTCTTCTTCTTCTTCTTCTTCTTAACATAGGATCTATCAATCTATACCCGAAGGTCAATATTGTAGCCTGTTTGCATTCATTTTATGCTTTTCTTCCCTCTTGGAAGCTAGCTTAACCCAGTTGATGTTACGCATTGAGTCGGTCTCTTTTGCAGATATGATCATGTCCCACTGAAAAAGTCTGGCACTTGGATCAAGACAGACAAGTGTGATTACCAGGCTGTCTTCCTAAGCTTTAAGATACAGTAAGATCTGCATAAGGTTTGAGCAGTTTGAACTGTAGTTTATGTGGTTTAAGTTCAGTGAGTAATTTGTGTGGGTAGCCATGGGCTTCGCCTGGCTTGGGCAACCGGGGCTGTAGACAAGGAAGTTTTTTCTTTAGCACTGAATAATTTGCCAGTTGCCACTTTCACCGGTAGGCTACATCACTTTGCAACTGAACATCATCAACCAGGAATGAATATGCCCCGTCACACTGGCTAAGTGACTGGTGCGTGTGGGACAAGGAACATCTTCATTTTCATTTCAGCACCCATGTTATACGATTAGAGTATCCGCACTGCCAGCGCGAGCAGCATGACTCAGTCTGTGTTGTTGTTGTTGTTGTGAATGCATCTGAGCAGAGAATGTCCTTCTGCCTTGTTTAAATGTGAAAAAAAAACTCTGGAGAAAGTCTGGAGTCAATTGTGCGGTTACTCTCTGACAGTCATATGTGAAAATGGCTCTTACTTTTCACCATCGCTGTTGCTCCTTCATAGTATTTTCAGTCAAGTAAGAATTGCAGAGTAGACAATCTGCTTCCTGTTTACACTGGTCTGGTGTCCTTAACTGGTCACATGATAAACATTTTCAGGCCCATATTTAATCTCAAAAAGTTTTCGTCCCATTTTGCTGCAGTCTCTGGGCTGAAGTATTTAAATTGAATTACACCTGACACACCTGTCAGATATAGAGTAGTTAACTGTAGCCAAAGTTTTAAAGTAATTTAGTACTTGTTTGTTTGATTATTAAATTATTTTAATAAACTACTAAGTATAAACTGCTGTGGTTGTATTAACACTATGTGAGTCATTTGATTAGTAAATGTGTGCAACAGCATATCTAATGCCTACAAGTCTTCACATGTTACAAAACAGAAATATACAACTTACAGTATGTAGGTAATAACTCCAATGCTCCTGGAGGAGAAGGAAACAATGCATAAAGTAAGTCATGTGGTGTGATTTTAAGTTTTTCACAATTATATGACATATGTAAGACTACTATAGTATTTAACTGTCTGTCTATGTTGAATAATTATGTTGTTTCAAGTGTGTCCTGATAGCTGAAGTTGAGCACTGAGTGGGGCTTGAGGCATGCTCCGAAATGCCACTAAGAGAAGAATTTACCCTCCGTTATACAGAGAAACAGCAGTGAAGAGATACTGAGAATAGCTGTGAAATTCCAAGTTTATGTGTGTGCCGACATGAATTTTAAGTTACTGTTGTAGATGATGTAATGTTGAAAATGTGCAGTCCAGCACAATAGACTGTGAATGGACAGTCAGTAGGGAATCTTACCACATATCTGCTGCTATGCTGAGAGCTTCTTTATTTATCACCTCAGGGGCTGAAAAAGAGAGAATGAAGAGTGCAATGAAGGAGTGGTGGTCCCATTTTTTTCCCCCTGTCAAGAAGGGTTTTTTTGTTGGTAGTTGTGCAGGTGGCTCAGAAAGCACCTCCAGCTGTAGGGGAGTAATCATTGTAGCTGATGGCTATTAGCTGATTACTCCTCAAGCTGCCACTGGAAGAGAGAAACTGATGAAGAAGACACACGGAGGAGACTGGAGAGGACACAGAGAGCTGAGCAACCTGAAAAGGTTGTGTGTGGGACAATTTAAGTTTAGTGAATTCATGTTTGATCCTTTGAGATTAAATAAATAATGTTAAGTGGTGACTGCGTGTTGTCTAGCTGTGTTTGGGAGACTCCAGTGGCAATGTCTGTTGCCACAGTTTTCCTTACTCTTGTTGAGGGTTATGGGAAGAGGCTGTCACACCTTGTTAAGCACTATTAGACAAACTGGGATTAGTGAAAAATGGGCTACACCAATATATAAATTTGATTTGATTAGACAAAATTTATATAATTTCTTTGCTACTCCCTGCTGAAGATCAAAATATAATTAATTGCTCTTTTATTTGTTTATATAAAAGCTGTTTAGAGTGTCACATATACCTTAACTGCCTTAATTAACACAGGTAACTTAAAGTCAAAAGAACAGTGTTAAATGAAAGACTTGATCCTCACCAATGTACTGCGGGGTGCCACTTGTGCTCCTGTACTCCTTGCCTTGTTGAAAATGGTGGGCCAGGCCAAAGTCGATTAGTTTGATCTTAGGGTTTGGTGATACTTTGTCTGACAGCATGATGTTTTCTGGCTGAATGGAGACAATAACTTTATTATGATGGAGGAATAATGTAATGTAAAAAAAACCCTCTAAATTCAAAAGTTTCTAAACATCAATAGCAAAAACAAGCCATGTAAAGCCAAAAAGTCATGTAGGTCAATTTACCTTGAGGTCAAAGTGGGCAATTTTCTTGCTGTGCATGAATCCCAATCCCTCCAGGATCTGCTTCATGAAGTCAATTGCCTCACTCTCCAACAGGTTCTCCTTCTCAGCAATGAAGTCAAACAACTCTCCTCCACTTACACTGAAATTTTAAACAAATCTCAGCTATTCATTCGGCAAGTCCAATATTATTATAGATGACAGTGAAAGACCTAAACAAATCACAGCTTTGGTAGCTGTCACCTTAATTAGCATTCACGCAAAAGACACCAACCAAAATTGATAAGCATGATTATGTTTATATATAGTGTTATGAACCATTAGACTTTCATGTTAGGCTACATTATCAGTTCTTAATTAAAAACACATCGACTCACAGCTCCAGAATGAGCACCACTTCTGCCCGGCTCTCAAAAACATCTTTGAGGATCACAATGTTTGGATGGTGAAGAGCCTGGAGGATCTCCACCTCATGCTCCACACTGCTTCTGTCCATGCCCAGACGGCTGCAGGCCATCTTTCTTATCCTCAGGAACTTGCCTGCCCAAAAAGTTCCAGTGGCCTGCTCAAGAACTTGTCGAACCTGACCAAAGTGCCCACTGGATGGGGCAAGGACATAATTCACAGTGAACACTACACTTGAGACATGTATATAAAAATGTCTTGTTTATACATACATATAAATAATCGATTCCAAATGTTCTAAATGACCACATTAGTAGTTGGCAAACTTAAAGGATGTGGAGTTCTTGACAGTGTAGAGGTTGGCAAAATTCACACATATTAATGAAGATAAAATTAATGAAGACAGCATGTGGGTGAAGAGTTAAACAATTTATTATGAAACTAATAAAAGTATATACACACAAACTTACTAAAGTTGTGTGTGTGTCTGAGTGAGTAGTGAGTGAATGATTGTGCTTTCAAAGTGGTGGCTGGCCATGATGAAACAAAAGAGCACATAGAATGGTTACACCATACAGTGGTTGATGTCACCTGTATGTGTTAAGTTTGGGGAGATGTGTGTGTGAGGTGTTCGTGCCAGGTTAGAGAAAATAGTTAGTTGCATGCAAAGAAAGATCCTAAGTCTGTGAACAGCATAATATAAATAACCGTCAAATAACTAATGTCAAAATATCACAACAGGACAAATCAAACGTATAAACATCACACAAAATAGAATTAAAGTCCTTTACTTAGCCTAGTGTAATCATTAAGCCCAGTTGTGTTACCCGTCCATGAAATGGGGGAAAGGTCCTTTTTGATGTGCAGTGAAGTGGTCCAGTCCAGTGAAGTGGTCTTGCTGGTTGTGGCTCCTGTTGTCGTTCATCTGCTGGTCAGACCTTGTGTCATGGCCATTTGCTTGTGCTGAAATTCTTAGGGAAGGTTTTAGCAGTCTGCTTCAAGCAGGCCTGCTTGGAGGTTGGAGAGCTTGGGTAGGGAGGAAGTCTTCCTGGCTGGGTGAGCAGGAGAGATACCCACCTCTCTTCCAGGAGTGTGAAAAAAAGCTTGGGTAGAGTGGTACAGCTCTTTTTCGAGGACTACTGGCTGAAGTGACTACAGTTGCTGCTTTGTATATGTTGTGGTAGCCAGCGAAAGACAGGAGAAGCACTGGCTTAAGTAACTATAACCACTGCGGTGTATGTGCACATGAAACAGGGCAGTCCAAAAACCCATCCAGAAGAGCACATAGCCCTAACCTTTTCCAGCTCCTCCATGAGCTGTGTCTGGATGAATGTCGTTTCCGGTTTGATCAACCTTTAATTCAGGTCGGTGCCTGAGTTCAGTGAGGTTCATTGTCAAGACTGATTGGCTGTCTCAACGTCAATTTTTCGCCCAAGTTCAAATATGAATCATGCTGCGTCAAGTGCACCAAACATGTAATTTGCAACACCTGGGATGAGAGACGCGATACTCGCTTCTAATGGAATCTTTGCATTGACTTTGTATGCTGTCTCGACATGTGCCGTGTTCAGTGTAAATGCACAATAATAATGCCAACCCACTGCACTTTCCTATGGAGCAGGATTTCGGTGTAGTAACAGCTGATGTTGGTGGTTTAGACATGTCTCAGTAAGGTAGAGAAAGTCAAGTTTCCTGTTAATGATAATTCAAATTCAAAACAACTTTATTTGTGCCCGGAGGGCAATTCAAAGGCACCTAGAGCATATCAAAACACAACACGTTTCTGACAGTGAAAAGAAAGCATGTGCTGGGTCGAATCTGATATGCTAACCTCAGTGTCTGCTAGTCATAGATGTTAGTGAGTGATCTCAGGGTAAAGCATGATGATCTTAGAGCAGACTGTGAAGGTTCACTGCATCCGGTTGCTATTCTGGAGGATGATGGAGTGAAACCAGCAGGTGATAGAGAATTTGATGACACTCTCAATGAAAGAGTAATAGAAAGTCCTGAAGATGTCCCTGCTGACACCGAAGGAATTGAGCTTCCTAAGGAGGTACTGCCACTGCTGACATCTTCTGAGAATCTCCTCTGTGTTGGAAGACAATTTCAGTTGGCAGTCAAAGATGGTGCCCAGGTACTTATCCTCCTCAGGGTGCTCCACTGGGTCCCCGTGGATCATGGTGATGGCTGCTGCTGCCATTTCCCTCTGTCAGTTTGAAAAGGTGACAACCATCTCTTTGGTTATGCTGATGTTCAGCTCAGGCAAGGGCTGAAATACCACTCCACAAACTCTTGCAGAACTGGTCCGTGGTGCTGTGAGGGGCCTGATAGCAGGGACAGGAGAACTGTGTCATCTGCATATTTAACCAGGTGAGAGATGGTCTGTGTGGATCTGCAGTCATCAGTGTAGAGGATAAAGAGCAGTGGTGAGAGCACACAGCCCTGAGGGGAGCCAGAATGAAGATCGGATAGGATGTTGTTGACTATGACTTTCTGCGAACCCTAACCCTAACCCAGTATAGACAAGATGAGTTGGTTGTCTATAAGCGGGAGAAGGGTTTGTCAAGCAGGATGTGAGGCTGCAGGGTTTTAAATACAGCAGAGAAGTCTGCAAAGAGGAGTCTGACTAGTGATGATCCAGATGTTTGTGCAGTGTCCATGATTAACTTTTTGGTAAAACTTTAGTTTAGGGAACACAATATTAGTCATTAATACATAACTAATAAGGATTTCTAATAGTGCTTAGTAAGGTTTTTATTAAACATCTGTATACATGTATTAGGTCTTAATTGAACACATTCTTATTTTTGCTTAACAACTGGTTTATTCTTGGTAAATCCTTAGAAGGCCACTAGTTGGCCATGATCGTAAGTTATTAGTATTTAGTATGGGTCAAAATAAAGAGGCTATAGACTCCTTATACACTGTCTTAATATACTACCATTTGAGACAGAGTAGCAACATATTGCGACAATGTATTAGGAGTCTACTTTGATCCATACTATATATCAGCAACTTAACCTCAAGACTAACTAGCTGCTTATTAAGGGTTTGTCAAGAATAAATGACCTATTCAGTAAGAATAAGAAATTGTTGAATAAATACCTAATACATATGTAGTGATGCTTAATGCAGATCTTATTGATCATTAACACATACACTTATTACTCATGTATTAGTGGCTAACATTGTGTTCCCTAAACTAAAGTGTTACCAACTTTTTATTTTTAGAATCATTAACGCCTTTGCCTGCTCTTTATGCAAATTGGAGTGGGTCCATGAAGGAGTCAGTTATCTTGAAGATATGTGATGTTTTATGACCCTCTCCATGGCCTTTATCAAGAGGGAAGTGAGAGCCAAAGGACTGAGGTTGTTCAGAGCTTTGTAGTGTTTTTCTTGGGGATTAGGGTTACAGTAGAGTGTTTCCACAGCTGGGGGACTGTGCAACTGTCCATGGAGCTATGGAAGACAATCTGAAACAAGCTCTCTAGCTGCTCAGCACAATACCTCAGGACTCAGCGACTGATGTTATCTCACCACATCTGCTATGTTAAAGATGAGTGCAGGGTCACCTGGTCTGAGTGAGGCTGTCTCAAACCTGGCGTAGAAGGAGTTGAGATCGTTGGTAAGGGATGTGGAACTGTTGCCTGGAATCTGGATGGTTTTGGTGTGGCAGACTTGTATGCATCAGGGTTTGTCCAGTGTCTTCCCCAGGCAAGTACTATATGTGATGTACTGGTAAAAGCCTTTTAGTGAGTGGGGTGCAGTGGTTGAAAGCTACCAGAATAAATTTTTGGGGTATCAGGTGATATTAGTTCAAGTCTGTTAAAAGTGTTCTTGATGCTTAGGATTAGGGGCCATAAATTGGGCTGCTGGTGGCATTTATTAAACACACTAATATTCATTTTGAAAATAAGCTTCTCATAATAAAAAGAAAAGATAAAAGGAAGAACAGCATTAGAAAAAAACCTTAAAAAACATTTAGCACAGCCAAGGTTTCACCAGTTTCTCTCGACATTAAATGGAAAAACAGACTGGAACAATACAAAAAAAAAAATTAAATAAAAAATACAGAGCGTTGTGCTTGGCCTCCTTCTTTATATGTGTTTTCTCCAGTGACATTGGCTGCACTGACTCTGGGGTGTATGTAGACCAGAATGAGAAAAAGCTCTGGGGAGATAGAAGGGGTGAAAGAGACTGCCAGGAGCTTGATGGAGTGCACAGTTCCCCCCTAATGACGGCTGTAGAGCACCAGCTTTTGTTTACATAGAGACACACACCGCTACCATGTTGTTTACAAGTGAGCTCACTGTCAAACCTCTCAGCTCACTTATACAGGAGAAATAACCCTCGTTGTGCAGCGTGCCGTCGTCGTCAGTCTTATTTAACCACATTTCAGTGAATGCAAGAATGGAGGCAGTCCTGTTCATGCAGATGGTTAAAGCTCTTCCGTTTTGTTGCTGAGGGAGCGCGCATTTGCTAGGGTGATCGAGGGGACCAGACACTGCACGACTCCCGTTTTAGTCTGGTTCTGATTCCGCCTTTTCTTTTCCCCCTTCTGGTTACATTGTTTTTTGTTGTGAATGGAGAGATTCCTCGAGAAACGTGTCAGTGTTGATTGTGTAGTGGGGGAGAAGTCCAAGCTGCAGCAGAAAGTCTCTGAAATAAGTGACACTTCGTCTGTCTTGGAGATCCTCAGGATTAGGGGTTAGTCCATGGATATCCAGAATGATGGTCGGAAAAAAGACAAATGATGCGGTCACGGTTGTAGTGAACAAGCAGAAAAAAGAGAAACGCTGAGCTGGATGGAGAAAAGCATAAGAAAGTCGACCCTCCGTCAAAAGTAGGCGGACAAAAGTAATAAAAACACACACACTTTATCCTGTGTAAACACAACAAGATGAGGAACACACAATACGTACGAAAAAGGTGTTAAAAACAATGTAGGCTACAAAACAATGCTCTATGTGACGGCCGGTCAAACACACGAGCAGCTACCCAGAATCACCATTCAATGTCGTGAATGGGTAATGCAACTACTTAGCAACACTCATATCCATACCTTCCCAGAACATCCCCAATCTCATAGAAGTCTTCCACATTTTCAGACTTGAAGACTGCCATGTTGACTGGATTTGATCCCCTTGGTCCTTTGGTAGTTCACTCCTGACTAACTAACATTAAGTTGTTTATGATCCTCAGAACTCCGGACCTAAGTAAGAATAACAGAGATGGTATAGCATCACAAATTGGAGTTTTTTAATTGAACATATAGACAAATGTTAGTGACTGCTGAGTATAGATCATGGATATTAAGTTACAGTAAGTGACATTGACCTTTGACCTCTAAATTCAGGTCAATAATATA